ATGCTTTCGCCTACTCTTGAAGTTAGAGAAAAAACTACTATGTTGAATATGATGATAACTTGGCTTTTCAAGTAGTACAATTATCACAGATTAGTTGTACCAAGGTATCTTTTTACTGTATATAACTTGTAGAAAAATTTATCATAAAAATACTTGAAGGGGCTAGAGAGATGGCTCAGCAGTTCAGAGCACCGGCTGCTCTTCCAGAGGACCCAGATTCAATTCCCAACACTCACATGGTAGCTCACAACTGTGTCTCCTGTTCCAAAGTACCCAAAACCCTCATACAGACACACATGTAGGCAAAGCTCCAATAAATAAATAAGCACATTTGTTAAAAAAGAAGAAAATACTTGAATTCATCCAAAGTTCTTTCAGCAACTATTGATATTATCTTCTTTTTATTCTTCATTTTGTTAATATAGTTCATACTATTTAAAATATTCAAAACTGGGTGATATTTGTATCAAAGAGATATATACTACACAATCATGTTAATGGCTTTTTGATCTACTGGTTTTCTAATGCTTAGGTAATATACCTCAGGTGTGCATATGGTGAGCCTTTTGCTAGCTGTATGAATAGGTTTAATTCCTTTGTGGTTTGGAGGCTTCCTATGTTAATTGCTGAGTCTCTGGCAGGTAGCCTGACCTTGTTTTTGGATGCTGGAACTGAGATATCAGGCTCATTTCCATGATCTGCAGTAAGATTCAATTTCTTTACAACTGTCTTTGGGGTCAAAGACAGTTGTGCCATTTGTTGGGTTCTTGGCTGTACAGACTAGCTCTTAGGTAATAGCCCAGAGAGGAGGACCATTTCATGACCCACAGTGGAACATGTCATATACTGAGTAGGTCTTCTGGGTTCCTGAGTATGTGGGGGTGCTCCCAAACTGCAATTGTGAGGGGCTGAGCTGAGATTCTTAATCTCTTCTCTGTCACTGTAGATGAACCCTGTGGCTGGTTAATTCATAAAGAAAAGAGTTTGGGGTCTGCTTTTTATTCCTCATGTGGTCTGGTTGCTGGGAAGGTGTTACCAAGTGCTCGTCTTCTGGTCTGAGCCACATCCCATATCAGTTAGTATATAGAAATGACTAGTCACGTGGTGATAGAAGAAGTAAGAGAGTAAGACAAGGATGCTACATTCACGTTGTGATAGCTTGTTCTGAAGGAAACTTATCTAGTCTCATGAGAACTACAATAATAATTCTATCATGAAAACAGAGCCCCATGACATAATTGCCTTCCCAAGAATCCCCTATGTTTCAACATTTCATGCTGATTGTAAGAGTTGGAGCGCTGATGGAAAGTTATCCTGGCAGGCGGGAGCCAAGGAATACCTCAAAGTTCCTGTAAGTGTTACAGCTCTGCTCCCAGGAAAGTTTCCCCCAATGCAAATATAACAACTCTGCTCCTGTCTGGGAGAGTTTCCCTAGCAAACGTGTTACAGTTTCCCCCAAGGAAAATGTTTCAGTTCTACTCTATTCCTGTGAAAGATGTTAAAGCTGGACTCTGCTTCTGTGGAAATGTCACAGCTGGGTTCAGGTCCTGTGAAAGTGTTATGCCACGTACAATCCTTGCTCAAGAAATTTTGGGGGGAAGGGCAAATTCCTGGGGGATGGCTTTCTTCAGGATGATAAATAGTAGCAAAATGAACAGAGCATAGAGCTGTTAAAGGATTTCTTGAGGGAGAGCTTTACAGTGTACCTTGGGATTGGTGGGTTTCTATAGCCTGATTCTGGGGCAAGCTCAGGGATTGGTGGGATTTCTGCTCAGGGATCTCAGGGAATGGTGGGATTTCAAGCCCTAGTCTTGGAGTCAAGTCTGGATCAGGGTGTTCTTTCCTTGGCCCTGATCTTGGGGGTCAAATCAGGGGTAGGATGTTTTTCCTTGGCCCTGGTTTTAGGGTCAGGATATTTTTCCATGGCCCTTTTTATCTCACCCTGGCCACTATGTTCCAACACAAGTCATAACGAACACAGAATTTATGTAAATGAGCAGGTTAGCCTCCTGTTTTTCTCAGGATTACAGGTATGTATACAATGCCCAGCCATTTAAGTACCTTTTGTGGGACGAAGGCCATCAGACTTACTCTGGATATGCAAGTGGGCATGTCTAACAAAGGGGCCCTTTGGGTGTGAGACTGGTGTCAAGCAAAAGCTGAACTCTCAAAGAAGGTGCTTTTGGAAATTAGCAGTACCTAGCAGAGTTCTAGTCGGGCTGATAAGGAGATTAGAACAGTTTTGATTCTGGAGCTAGGACAACATTCAACAAAACTGCCACTGAATGAGTCTTCCTTTTCAAAGGATCTGTCTATAACATGAAGTCCCACAGGAAAGTTGCAAAATCCTCTCTGAATCTCAAATCTCCTACAAATGCCCCTTTACCTGTGGATGGCTCCAAAATTACTGTTGCTATCAGGGGATGAGTGGGAAACCTCCTTAAAAAACCCTGCAACCTGCTCATATCTCACAGGTCAGAATTTTAAATGCTATTTCCTTACATAGTTTAACTTGGATTTTGTTATTTAAAACAATGTATTCCTCTTAAAATATATAGTTATATTTGTTGTTGTTGTTTTGTTTTGTTTTGTTTTGATTTTTTGAGACAGGGTTTCTCTGTAGCTTTGGAGCCTGTCCTGGAACTTCTCTGTAGACCATGTTGGCCTTGAACTCACAGAGATCCGCCTGCCTCTGCCTCCCTAGGGCTGGGAGTAAAGGCCGGCAAAATATAAAACAGTTATTATAGAAGATGAATGAATAAATAACAAAAGGCTATTCAGAATTCTAATCTCTGATAAACTGACACAGTTTAAAAATCAACAATGTAGCCAGGCAGTGGGCATACACACCTTTAATCCCAAGATATGGATGGCAGAGACAGGTAGATCTCTGAGTTCAAAGCCAGTCTGGTCTACAGAGTGAATTCCAGCACTACCAGGGCTAGACAGAGAAACCATATCTCGAAAAAGTTTAAAAAAAAATCAATGTAGAAGACAATTAACTCCATGCATGGCCAGTCTCCATGTCCCGACCTCTTTAACTTATACATACCTAAACAGCTTTAGGGAAACATTTGGAAAAGACCACACTACACAGCACACATAGAGGATCACTTTATCCCTTTGACAGGAGCCCAAAGTGTCCTATATTGTAAAGGTGTGTGATGAGAAAAACTGATTTCAAAATCAGTAGAGTGTGAGAATTTCCTGTTCAACCTTCAGTGACATACTAGTGAGAAATCTCCTTTTCCACTCTTGACTCACTGTGAACCTCATGCGGGCAGCCTGCTTAGTTCACTGTTACTGTTGTCCTAGATTTCTCTGACAGACTTTCACCTTTTGTTGCTCAGCTCCCACAGGCCTCCTGTGAGCTCTTCACCTCACTGCAGGAGGCTTGGCTTTATGGCAACAGAGGGAGCTTATTATTGTCCCCTAGTGTCCACCAGCCCAGTCAGTTAATGGAACACTGCAAATGCTATACGGACAGCAACTGAGGAACAGTTCTGATGCAGGTAACCAAACTTGAATGTGGATGCCTTTAAACAACTCGGGTAAGTCCAACCTCATGGAATTCATTGGAGGATTGCCTCGAAGTTCTGTCCTTGTTGTCTATGGAGAGTCGTGTTTGTGTTTCCTTATCAACGTAATTAAGCCCACAGCCACAGAAGACCTGAAGATGAAGTGTGGATTTTAAGTGTTGCAATTTGTGGTCTTTTGGTCTTTGGATAGCAACGTACAGATTTATCTCAGATGTCACAGGTTCTTAAAGGGATTCTCACTGCTTGGCGAAGAACAATCGTAGTAGGAACTAAGATATAACAGTAATTTAAATAGCTAACTTTTATTGAGAGCTCTGCATGCCAGAGGTAAGTATTAATTGCCTTATATAATTTTTATGTTTTAGATGAATGCACTAGGTTATTAGTAACTTCTCAAAGGTCACATGTAAGTTTTAAAGCCAGAATTAATTCTAGACCTCACTGATTCCTGGGCTAATTGATTGAATTATCTGCTATGTTGAGTTATTACAATTGTATTATATGTTACTAAATCAACGCTGATTTTGACAGCCACAGACTCTTTGGGGACGTCTGAGCCATCGATACTCTAGTATGAATCATTTTTATCATGTTGTGGTTTCACATGTTAGATAATTATTTCTTGAAATAAAGGGGGTATCAAAGTCGTTTTCAAAGTATTTCCAATAGTGTTTATTTCATGCAAGATTTTTCTGACATTGCATTTTCTAGCACTTACAATATCTTAAATATTTAGTCATTTCTTTGAACTCCTCAATTATTCCAAATAAAATGAATGTAAAAATATGCAATTTACTTTTATAAATATATTAGGCATTTAAAATAATTGCTAGTTTTATGTGTGCCTGTGTGTATCAACCTTCCTAGACTGCATAATTAGAGCATTCAGTTCTTACTCATTATTGGATTTCAATTTATTATAAAAGTTCAGCAAAGTGTTGTATATGCTTCACACATGTATATGCAAGGATGATAATTAAAAAGGAGGTCATGAACAAGGGACAGGCTGGAGTTGAAGGGAGAGACATGGAAATGATGTAAACATGATTTACTCATATGTAAAATTCACAAAACAATAAAACATTTAAGTTAAGAAATTGACGCAACATCCTTTTCTGTTAAGGTGTAGGGATCTTTGATGTAAGCGTTCAACATTTCATGGTGTTAGTCCTATGAAAACTAAATTTAATCTGTAAAACATTTCTTTTGTCTGTAGACATCTTTATTCCTCACCAAGTTACTGTCCTGTCAAAAATATTTTGTCGAAGGTGAATTATCTTTCAAAACTCTATTTGTTTGTTTATAACACAGCACAGCAAAGGGGAAAAACTTAGACTTCAAATTTCAACCGCAAAATGAGCTCCGATGTCACAGACTCCACCCATTTTGGTTGCATCCGAATGAGTACCTTCTTGTGAACAGCCGCCAAAGCACTGGCCCTGGCATCATTCAGCTGCCGAGATGAGTAACGAAAGAGTCACCTACGCAGAACTGAATGTGGCGAAGCACCCAAGGAAACAGCAAAGGAAACCAAGGGGCACTCGCAGCTCCATCTCAGCAACTGAGCAGGAAATCACCTATGCGGAATTCAGCTTTCAAAACGCCTGTCAAGAGCATCCTCCAGTCTGCAGGGACCGCTGCTGCAAAGGTGAGACACTGAATGGGCCCTCACTGTAACTACTCTAGGATGCCAGGGGTGTGAAGAGGTGGGCACAGAGGTGGCAATGGCCTCCTTATGAGGTCTGGAGCTCTAACTTGACCCAGGCTTTTATAGTTGGTGAGGGTGGATTTCTCTGTTGCAAGAATATATGGATCATTCTCATGGGACGATGTTGCCTGCAAACCATAGCAATGTAGAGGAGGATGCAGTGTGGTCAGAGTTTGTTTATTTGACTGTGTGTGTGTGTGTGTGTGTGTGTGTGTGTGTGTGTGTGTAAACCTTGTGAACAGTCACCCTTTTCTTTCTACAGGTTTTCCATTTCCTCCAGAAAAACTCATCACTGGGATTCTGGGCATTATCGACTTGGCCTTACTGGTCGCTGTGGTTGTAATTAGAACAGTTGCCACACCATGTAAGGATGTATAAAGGAACTCTTCACTTTAATGACTGGAAGTACCTTTCAAAGCTTATTGAGAACAGTATTTTTTTTAATTATTTTAAAGTATGCGTTTCGGTTAAAAGTAGAATGGTTATTTTGATTTTGTCAATGTCATGAATTTCACAGCAATTGCATAAAATGTTTACTTTCAATTTTACCAATGATTTTATAGCTCAAACACATAGTTTAGAGCCTCAGAAACTCTTTACTGAGATATGAAAACTGTTTTGAAAGTGGTTTTGCCATAGGTTATGAGGTAAAAGATATTGGAATTAGGGATTTCAGTAGTAGTAGTTTGTAGTAGTTTTCTCCAAGGTTTTCAAAATACTATTTTTTGACAATTTCAATTGTATTCCACTGTATCCTAATTCAAAATAATACATCAGATTCAGACCAAGAAAACTATAATTGTTACACATTTTGCATGCTTATTTTCATGAGAACTGTTTTAACCCTCCAGATCCTGAAGCAAACTCTCAGAACAGCTCCTCTGTGACTAGCACCCAGAAAGGTACACCTCACTTGTCAAAGTTCTGATGTTTGTACACATTGTATTTTTTGTCTGACTAAAGCTATGCAAAGATGATAGTAGATTTCTAGGAAGAAAATAATCTAGAAACATGAACATTACATGTTCATAAGTAAACATTAAGGGTGATAACATTTTTTGCACCACAATAAGAAATACTCAGATAAAATAACCATACACGATTTTAAATAATTGGCTTAATTTTCCTACTGGTAAACCATGATAAGACAGAAATGAATTCACTATTCCAAAAGAGAGCTTATGTTCAGTGACTCTGAAAAATTTGTAGGGTAAAGACTTGTTTATTTAGTTTAGGCAGGTGAATAAGCATTGGGCCTTGGGTAGACTCTTTTCTTTGTTTGTGTGCTTGAGTGTATATTTTGTTTTGTATTTATTAGCCTCTAGGCTGTGTAGATACATATTTTACATGAATGTTAAAACCTATGAAAACATTGATTTTCATCATTAAGTTCTTGTTACATCTAAATAATAATCTTTCTTCAGCACACACTTGTAGCCATTGTCCAAAGGAATGGATATCATATGCCCACAATTGTTATTATATTGGTGCGGAGAAAAAAACCTGGAATGACAGTGTGGAGTCCTGCGTTTCCAAAAACTCTAATCTGCTTCATATAGATAGTGAAGAAGAGCAGGTAAGAGCCGGCATGTGTCAATCATTGCTTAACCTTTCTTCCTACCGATGTGATATGTGTTGAGTCCATTCGTATTCTTATAAGTTTCATATATTTACAACTGTGTATGGTACTTCATTGTTTTATTTTGCGATGTTTTATTATATTTGTGTACTGGTAGTGAATATTTATTTTCAGATTTATTTTTTTATTTTATGAAAGTCACTCTTGTGCAAGTGAATTTAGTCTGAAATTAACTTTGCCATTTAATTTTCACCATACACAAAAAAGTCTACGCATGTATTATAGTTAACACTTATCAAAAAGTGACAATGTGGAGGAAATTATTTTCAGATATCTAGTCAGACATTTCCATTTCCTTCATTCCATTCCCTAAGCATACTCTCATCAGGTCTTCCCACACAAAACCATCCTTCTGACTTTTGCTATAATTATCTGCACATACCTTTGAGATTTATAACACAGGGATCGGACATATGTATGCACTGTTACATAGAAATCCTGCAGCTCAGCAGTTCTCAATCCATGGGTCTCAATCCCTTTGAGAGTGGAATAACCCTTTCACAGGGGTCACCTAGGACCATAAGAAATATCAGATATTTATATTATGATTCATAATAGTAACAGTATTAAAGCTATAAAATAAAAATAAAAATAATTTATGGTTTGGGGTCACTGCAACATGAGGAACTGTATTACAGTGTTTGCAGCATTTGGAAGGTTGAGAACCACCACTATTTCATGGTCTTAGAGTAACCTTTCTCCTGACACTGAACTGGGAGAAACAGTAGAAGAAAAGCTGATTTGAACACAGCACCCAAAGAATTCCATGCAGTTTCTCGAAATTTGTTTGTGTTGTTAGAATGAATATCTATTAAGTTACATAAATCAATAAAAGAATAAAACTTCTAACTATAAACATTTTAAAGTTAATTCTAGATCAAAATTCAACACATGTGAATTTGTGGGCAGTGTAAGAAGTGTTCTCAACTTTAATAACTTGATTTGTATTGGACAATAATGATGCTATGACAGAATACACTTTATTTAAAAAATAAGAGCCTTCATACTGATGAAAATTCCTTATTTCTCTGGTAGGAATTTCTGAAATTGTTCTCACTGGTTTCATGGACTGGAGTCTTTCGGGAGAGCAGAAATCAACTATGGATTTGGAAAAAAGACTCAACTTTCAAACCAAAGTAAGTTTTCATGAATGATGCAATAGACAAGAAAAAGAAAGCACACAAAGAAGCCCTCAGAAGGATGGTGTCAGTAAATGAAGTTGAACTATGGACAGGCAGAATGATTCTGACCTTCGTGAACTGCCCAGGTCAATCTGAAGAATGGGTTACTTGGCTTTCCCAATAATCAGTCCTTACCACACTGTTAGTGAAGACGCCATTGCTGACTTGCATGAGATCCTTCTTCTGCACTCACTTACAGGAGTCATTCATTTAGTAGATTATCTGCATGAAGAATACCTGAATTTGTGTTTCCTCCATTGCAGGATAACAGAGCCTTCCCAGGATGAACACAACTGTGTCATGCTGTCATCTTCTGGCTTCACAGCAGATAACTGCACAGCTTTACATGCATATCTTTGTAAGCATAAGCTCACCAACTAAAGCACCTGCACTTGGAGTCTGCCAGGTAATGTTACATTTCATAACTTGAAAATACAATTATGATTATGTAATCTTACAAATCTTTTCCAAAACAATCATTGAAGTATACTAAGTAGACAAAAAGTACAAATATTAATTTTGTATCTGATTCTTTTTAAGATATTCCTCATAATATTAACTTTTGTAACAGATTGCACATATTCCAAGACATCTTTCTGCAGAAGTACTGTCACATTTCACATTTACCATTTAATGTGATGTCATAGGACTTTGTAGAATTGCTTTGCTGGAAGGAGCAATTACTAACTGAGTTTCCTTATTATATTTAGGTTACTCATTTATTAACTACATTTATACCCTTCCTCCTTCTCTCTCTGTCCTTCCTTGCTCTCACCTACTCCTCCTCTGTTTTCTATTCAGAAAAGACAGGTCTTCCAGGGATATCAACCAAGCATGGTATATCAAGTTACAATAAGACTAGCCACATTCCTTCATGTTAAGGGTGAATGAAACAACCCAGTAGGAGGGTGAGAGTCCCCAAAGCAGGCAAAAGTGTCAGAAATAGACACCACTCTTAATCCTGAATCCTAGTATTAAAGGTGTACACCACCACATGCTAGCTTCTGGCTGCTGGGATTAAAGGTGTGTGTCACCACTGCCTGATCTCTATAGCTTGAGGCTGACTTTGCTTTTCTGAATCCTCAGTCAAGCTTTAATAAATCATAAACAATGTATCACCACAATGATCATGTATATTTTTCTTTCAGTTTGTTTATATGGTAGATTACATTGACATATTTTTGTGTGCTGAACCATCCCTGCATCTCTTGGATGAAGCCTACTTTATCCTAGTGGGTGATCTTATTGGTGTGTTCTTGGATTCAGTTTGCAAGTATTTTTTCGAATACTACTGCTTCCATGTTCATAGGGAAAACTGGTCTGTAATTTTCATCCTTTGTTGAGTCTTTTTGTGCTTTGGGTATCATGGTGACTGTGACATCATAAAATGTACTTGGCAATGTTCCTGAAATGATTTCTTAACATAGTGTCAATATCTTAGGTCTGTAAAACTTTTAATGAAAAAATTTAAATACCGACAAAATATTTACACCTTCTTAATACTTCTTCAAGGGCCTTTAATGTATGCCAAGTGTCTTTTGTTTCTTCTTGCTGCTTTTAAAGTCTCTCACTTTTATTTATGCCATGTGTCTGTGTGTTTGTGTTTGTATGTGTGTAGTGTGTGTGTGTGTAGTGTGTGTGTAGTGTGTGTGTGTTTGTGTGTGTGTGTAGTGTGTGTGTGTGTGT